TCACCCGCCAGCCGTCTCTGCCACGAAGGAGAGAGATACGCTTGGAGAGGTCGAAGAATGTTCTCAGACGCAGCTGCTGAATGTCCGACCTGGGAAACAGAGGTGTTTCTAGAATGAAACAGTTAATGTGCCTGTAATAACTTAATTTTTTTCATAGCTGAGAAAACTATTTTTGTCTCCATCTTTTCTACATACAGTATATTAACAAAAAAAAAAAAAAGAACAAAAAAAGGGTAAAAATGCTATAAAGTAAGATTTAAAATAAAATGTAAATTAAGTTTTAAGGGAATTTGAATATGTGCTCGCGCTCTCTCCAAATACTGACTGCCTTTTGGTTATATTTGCACTGTTATGTTTTCGATTTTGGTTTTGGGTTTTTTGGGTTGGTTTTTTTTTTTATTATTTCATGTAAAACTAGGGTCTTAAGTTAATTTTATTCTATTTTAATGTCAATGTTACCGGTTTTTAAAAGTAAGGTTCTTAAAGATGCTTCAACTGTCTGAAGCGATACCTTTCAAGTAGTGAAGAAAGCCATTAAGCTAGTACACTAGACGTGTATTAATTGAGATGGAGGGGAATACAGGTAAACACGAGAAAAAGTGTAAAAAAGACGGATGCCTCAGAAAGTCTTATGGAGTTAGCTGTAAAATACACCTACGATACTTGACTTGCATGCCTCTGGGTCCTCGCACTTTAGTGCATGTACATACTGCTACTGTACTTCTACCATCACGTAAACGTGAGTCAATCTGTTTCACTGTAATATTGTTGTGAATTTACCCGTACTGTACTTTTATCGTTGGTATTCTTGCATTGACTATACAAAAAGAGTTTTTAAATTATTGTTAGCAGTTCAACTGGCAATGTACAGTGTTTACTGAGAACTTCCTTCATTTTGGGAAAACCATGGAGATCTCTGGGCGTACTAAATTGTAACTGGTCTTGTTTAAGAGTCTGTTGGAGACCATGTGAAGTGGAAATAAACCCCTCAGTATTTACAAGCTGCTCGAGTGCTTTGTGATTTTTTTTTTCTGATGGCACTTCCCAGGTTCATTTAACTGGGGGCGGGGAGAGCCCCTGAACGCCTCCTTTATTCATAAGGGAAGAAAAATGCTTCTTTATATGCAGTAAATCACGACAAAGCCAAATATTATGCTGTGCTCCACAGACGCTGGTGAGCACTGGCTCAGGCCATGGGAAGGTTTCTAAATTCCCTCACTGAACTCTGCGAAACAGCTGCTGATACAGACAGCGGAACCCATCTTCTCAGTTCTTCCGAGGCCATATGGGCTTGTTTTCAGCCCTTCATGGGAGTGAAAACCAGCCAGCTAAACGTAACACCAAAAATATGACCTGTCCTGCGTTAATCCAAGCTTATGTCTCATCTGCGTTACACACAGAGACCAATAAAACCAGGGCTTTTGAAAAACCGGTGGCTAATACTGAGAAGTAAATGGAGCTGAGAATGTGCACACTTGCAAGACGTGGAAGCCTCTAGACCTTTTTTGCCTGGGATCATCTGTTTGGCCACATGCTTTCTCTGGGAGCCCCAGAACGGCTCCGACTAGTTATCCCACCGCTGAACTGGCTCATTCCTGTTCAATTTCCTTTGCCGAGGCTTTCTGAGGCTCGTTTGTTGAAGAGCACCATCTGGGATCCCTAGAAGCCTTCCTGGTTAGCTCTGCTGAGCGATAAGCCCCTTGCATCCCATCC